TCTGAATCTTAAGGGTTTAATTTAATCCCTAAATCATAAAAAGTTAATGCTTCATCTTATCTATTCATTTTTGATATTTCACTCTTAATTATTATCTACTCTAGAGAATATTCGCTAAAATAACTTAATTCGAAATGAATACCTTTATAGCTTTATTAAACATTTTCAAAGCATCATCGAACCTTTTCATTTAATTAATTAAATTTTTTATATACTTATAATGTTTTGGCTAAATGATATTAATTATTTGAAAACCTTTATTAGCAAAATATATTGAATTCTCTGGATTTTTTTCAATCGCTTAATTATAATATATTAATGTTTCTTCGTCTCTATTCAGTAAATTTAAAACACTAGCTAAAAATTCTTTATCATTTTAAAAAAACTTTATTTGCATAATTCTCTGAATTCTCTGGATTTTTTCAATAGCTTCACCAGAAGATTTTAATGCTTCTTAAAATTTCCCCATTTTACATACAAAAATTATATTTGATATAAATACAAAAAGGTAGAGACTAGAGTTAACAATATTTTTTCAATATCTTTATTAACATAATGATCAGAAAATTCAGGATCGTAGTAAATGGCAATATCATGATATTTTAAAGCATCTTCCAAACTATTTAAATCATTTAAAGGATAAGCTATAATTTTAAGTTCATTTTCTTAATACCTTTAGCAGCATAATTCATTGAATCTTCTGGATTTTTTTAAATAGCAATATCATATTATATTAAAGCTTATTCAAATCTATTCATATCATGTAAAATACTAGCTAAAATTTTAAAAGACTATGGGTTTATACCTTTGACTGCATAATTATCTGGATCTTCTGAGTTTTTTTAAATTCCAAAATCATAATATTTCAATGCATCTTCAAACCCATTCATTCTATGTAAAGCATTAGCTAAAATTTAGTTTCTAAGTTTGAGCACCTTTATTAGCATAATTATCTAATTTTTATGGGTTTTTTTAAATTGAAAAATCAAATTATACTAACGCCTCCTCATATCTATTCATATCATCTAAATTTATTGCTAAAGTAATTAATAGTTCCTATTTTATACCTTTATTTGTAAAATACCTTGAATTAGCTTGGTCCTTTTTCTATCGCTTTATCATAATATTTTAATGATTCTTCAAATCTATTCATTTCAAATAAAGAATCAGCTATGATATTATACAGATTTTATTACACCTTTTTAAAAATAAGAGATTGATTCATCATTAATTTTCTCAATAGTTAAATCATAAGATTTCGATTTCTCCTTAAATCTAATATAGTTTTTATGTATTATTAATTGATATTTTCTCACATCAATTTTCTTACTAAATCTTATTTCCTTGTTTTTTATCTAGATATGATTTTTTAATCTGCTATAATTTTATAAATCAAAATAAATTAACATAGTAATAACAATTTTGTTGTTCCAGAAATTAATATAATATATCTGAAATTTATTCAGCTATTTAATTGGCTTAAACAACCCCCCACAAATTCATTATAGAAACTATACTATAAAAAAATTTTATAATTTTAATTAAGAAATAAATTATGATTTGATTTAATTAAATATAATTCCATTTTAATCTAAGTTATATTGCGCATACAAAAATTTAATTTATTTATTCAACAATTTGGAGACATTCCATTCCTATTATAATTTTTGAGCTATGTACTTCATAATACTCCTTAAAAGTAGTTTTTGTACTTTCAATTTAACTATAATAAAAGGACCCATAAGGATTGATTTAATTTCAAAAACAAAAAGGATTTTCATTTTGTATTTTAATTACTCTCCTTAACAAAGTTAGATTTCAAGAAATGGCTCAATCATACCATCCATTAGATCTCAAACCAAGAATTAGAGTATAAATTGCCTTTTAACTTAATAGTTAAATCAGTTCATGTTATTTAAAACTTTAATGAAACAGGCTTAAACAATTTATATTTTATTTTTCTATAACTTAGTTATAATTATTGAATTATAATTATTTTAATTTCCTGGTAATTAACTCTGATTTAGAATAAAATTGTTAAACTATTTATTGCAATAAATTCAAAAGGACATCTAAAATGAGGGGTTTACTTATTTTACAGGCCTAAATTCTTATAAGAAGTATCGATTCAAAGACTTGATCTTGATTTTAATTTCATTAATTATCTTTAAGAAACATTTGAATTATATTTTGAATCTTGGATTGTAATCAAAAATATCAAAAGTGACTAAGACTTTAAAAATAAATAATAACACTAATTCATTTCTAAAAATCTCTAATTGTGATTCCTTCATCCTCATATAATTGATTAGAATAAAAAACTAAGAACTCATACGGAAAATTTATTAATTAATCAAGGTTTGTGCCAACTTATAAAAATCAAAATTATAGAATCAAAATTTGTCTCCTTTTTAGCTATTGTATCATATTGCTACATTAAATAATGAGATAGAAATGACTATACTTTTCTTGATTCTTCAATTGATTTTTAGATGATCTTTTTCTATTGAAGAAAAATAGCTTATTTAAAACTAAATATCAATTTGGTATTATTTAAAATTAGAATTATTAAAGTCTAAATTAAAACTGGAAATTATATTCTATAATAGGATATTAATAAATTAGTACTATGTTTATTGATGTCATAATTGGCAGTATGAAGTATAATTTGAAATTTGCTAAATATATCCCTTAATTATTTAATTGTTTAACCAGGAATTTAGAATTTTATACTAAATCTAATTAAGCTGTTAAGATTGTGATGGTCCAAAAAATCAGGATTGTTTGTCTTGTTCAAAAGAATCAAATAGAATCTATCTTCCAGAACATAAAGTCAGTATATGTCCATAAAATGAATCGAACATGAAACTTTATGCTAAGATTATGAAGAATCCAATCAAAAATTGATAAAAGTGGAAATCTTAGAGAAAATTAAAAATTGTTAATACAAATATTTTGAGTTTTTTTGAGATTGTGATTAATGGTAAATTATCATGAAATATTTAGTCTTTCAATAATTAAAGAATATTAGATTACTTGCTATGAATGCTTAATAGAACTGGTATAATAACCCTATTTGTAAATATGCATTTATTTTATAGCTAAATAAATACCAGTTTAGATGAAGCATTTTAATTAGTTGTTAATATTAAGTTTTATTTTGATGGAATCTAATTAAATTCCATTCATCAAACCCAACAAATTAATCTTGATTAAACCGATTAATTAATTAATAACGAAAATTTTATATAATCCTGTTAAATTTGTTAAATAAATATTGGCTCCTTTAAATGTGTAAAGTGAGAATGAGGTTTACATTATTAGATGGTAATTGTACACTGTTATTCTTAATAATTTCATTATATCTATATGGAAGAAAATTCAAATGATTATCTCATCTGCTTATAGTTACATAGGTTATTC